ACCGCTTGTTGACCAGATATAACTCCCTCTGAATAGTAATCCATAACAGTATTACCCCCTTCCCATGGCTATATTGGGGTAAAAAGTTAATTTTAAATATACCATATATGATTGGAATACATTATTAGCTTCACACATATTTCTTAATGTCATTCCTTTATGTTTTATGTTTTTGCTTTCAGTCTCTCAATATCAATGAGTACTGAGGTCTCAAAAAAATAAACCAGAGAGCGGAGAAAATGATAAGATAGTGGAAACAAACAGAAAAAAAAACCCCAAACTGTGTTAGGTCATATATGAAGAACACTAGGTTTATCTGATTATTTTGTTCAGATGGCACATTCAGATACCAAGAGCCAAGTTACTGGCACATAATTATTTTTAAACTGTGTTATTCTCCTTAATTGGTTTACAATAATTTAAAGAGGCTCTGGCTGGCTCCTACAAAAGAATCAAATTCATCAGTTCTTAACTAGGTTAGAATAGCTCCAACTCAACAATTTGGGTTATTATTTAAACCAGAGTCATCATTCTACCAGAGGGTTTCATATAATTTATTCATATCTTTTTAAAATGGAACCAATGCATTTAGGCAAGAGCTCTTTAAAGACAGCAGTAAAGATCAAATTTTCTCCGACATACTTCTGACCAGTGCCCTCCCTGAAAAATCTTCCCTAATCTCCTAGACTGCAGAAGCATAGGGTTTTAGCACACACTAATCTGACTAGTTTTCCCTCTAGCATTGCAAGAACTCATAATTTCTTCAGTGGAGTCTGATGAAATAGTTGGCTTGCATTTAGGAGCTGTGTTTTAGGGGAAAAAGCCTGTACATAGCAGAATCTTTTGAGACACTTTTGAGAATCACAGGCACTGAAGAAGGCAAGATTTTCTCATCTCTTGCTTACTTTAATTCCTAAACTCAGTGAGGGGAACAGTGGCAGTCTCTGGCAGGGCTTTTTTGTTGTTGTGGAATACAAGCGATTTAAATGAACTCCTACAAATATTGGTGTCCCATTTATAGTTTCCTCCAGTAGATTGCAGACCTTAGACATTCTTTTAAAAACTAAGGGTAAATGGATTTTTAAAATTACTTTCAGTACTAGTATGTTGGGCTGGAGCGATAGCACAGCTTGCCTTGCACTTGGTCGACCTGGGTTCGATTCCTCCGCCCCTCACAGAGAGAGCTCGGCAAGCTACTGAGAGTATCTCGCCTGCACGGCAAAGCCTGGCCAGCTCCTCGTGACGTATTTGATATGCCAAAAACAGTAACAAGTCTCACAATTTGATGTGAGACGTTACTGGTGCCTGCTCGAGCAAATCGATGAACAATGGCAGGACAGTGCTACAGTGCTACTAGTATGTTATTCTTTAAGAGCTATAAAGTTCTTAATATTTAAAATTCATCTGACGAGTTAAAAGTTTTTATTTTTGTGTGTAGTAAGAGGATTAATTCAGAGCCTCAGACTATGAAGCATGCACCCCACTACTGAGTTACATCCCTAGACCCCTTAAGAGCTTTAGAAAAAAATTTAATGACCATCGCCCATCCCAGTTATACAGCATCACTTTCCTTTGTGGTTGTGACTTTGGTACATTTATTCTAATATTCAGGTTAAATGGGCGATGCGGATGTGCATTTCCTGGCCCAGAACACTGCCCTAAGCCATTACAACCAACAGCTTAATTGTCAACCAGTCACTAAGAATACACTTGGCCTATTTCACAATTTTGTCTAGGGACCACTACTCAATGCTTCCCAGTTTCTGCCTGCCTCTTGATTTGCTGGCTGTCCTGATTTCTTTCCAGTTCTGCCCCAGGGCTTTGCCTTCCAGCTCTTCTGGGTTTCTGAACTAGAAACCTGACCTTTGATCTCATGTGCCATCAAAAGCTTGGGTTCTGCTTAAATGCTCTGGGCTGGCTCACTGGACTTGGCTCTCCTCAACTTTGTATTTAATTCTGGCTCTACGGTCGACCTCCACTTCTGACCCTACTATCAACAAACCCTACTATCAACAACCTGCCTACTGCAGAGTTAGGGAAGAGCGAGTCATGGTGGTTCCACTGGAACTTCAAATAACTCCAACAGATGACGCCATTATTAATGCCAATTTCAAAAAGGCCTGAAAAAATCCTGGGCCTGGAACAAAATCTGCTGTTTAGGCCCGTGTTACCCTTTTGGATCTAATACCATTCTTCAAGTATCTGGTGCCAGTTGACCTTTACTTTTTCCTAGGAAGCCACTTGGCAATGCTGTACTAATTTTATTCCTTCACTGTGTTTTTAACGTTTATAACTTTTTTCACCACCTGCAACTTCTATCTTTATCTATAAACCCCAATCCTACCAATACTTTAGTAGTGTTCCACAAACCTGAGCTCTTGACTTTAGAGGCTACATTTCTGGACAGGCAGAGGGTCTGCACTGCAGCTTTTAAATCAGTATACAGGAAACTAAGAGTCACTCTGAATTACGTTACAAATTTTCACTTTGAAAAAAATTTTAATTAAAAAAATTGTACAGTCATGAAGATGAAAATAATTATTTTCAAGTATCAAAGCGCTCTGGGATCTCAGCTTGCGAAAAACTGCTTAACTGACTTTAAAAAAATGTTTTCATCACCTGAAGACGATTTTTCTCTGAATTATTTAACATCTAATCACTTTCTACCTTGCAGTGGATAATGTGTGTCCACAATACTTTTCTAGAAAAACCATAAGCTCTTTGAAGGGAGGGAAAGCAAATTAAAAAGCAAAACCCCCACAGTACCTAACCTACAGTAGGTCCTCAGCAAACACTGCAAGCAAAACAGATTCCATCTTATTTCATAGCACAAGTGTCAAGAGAGATAATGAAAAAAAAACCTCACTTTTATGTAACACAATCACAGAACAGCACATTTAATGAAATAACCCTAAATCCACAAAATTCAAAAGTTGCTTAAAAATTTAAGAAAAGTCCAATCTCTGATCCTCAAGATTTGTAAAAAAAAAAAAAAAGTCCCACAAAGCACGAATATTTTTGTGCTTTTAGCAACAAAGATTTAAATGATCAACAGAAAAATAAAGAACTCTGGGGACTGAAGGGGGTCAACACTGCCAGGCCAGGAGTTCCCGTACATACAAGCTTGTCTCCAAAGGGCTTAAAGTCGACCTGTAACGCAGACGTCTGGCTTTTCCAGCACCTATTTATTGATTGATTTATTCACTAGGAAACGGTCCTATTTGAACATTCGGAAAAAGCTACGTTACCAGGGGCCTTGGGCAGGGGCTTGTTTGAAGCGAGTTTGCAAAGAGTGTGCGGCGGTGGCATGGGGGAGGGGGGGGCGCGGTGCTGGCGCAAACAGGGGGCAGGCCAGCCTAGATTATGGGGGAGCCCATTCTGTCGGCCTGGCAAACTGACGTGTCTCTCGTCGGCCACGAGAGAGAAGAGGGGGTTCCGGTCTGCACCAGGGCACCGGGATGTGTGTGTGTGTGTGTGGGGGAAGACTCGTTCTCTTTCTTGGTGGTTCTTTTCACCTGGGGACTGATATTAAAAAAAAAAAAGGGGGGGCCACGAACTGCTTGCTTGCCTTCGCGGCTGGCGGTGCCTCCCTCATGCCCTTTTAGGGCAGAGCTGGGGAAAGTGTGTGTGTGTGTGTGTGGGGGGGGGGGGGGTTGCTCCCTCCGGGGAAGGGGGCGGGGGAGGTCGGCCAAGCCGAGAGGGCTTCGGGTCCAGCCCTCGTTTCAGGTCGAGGCGAGGCGAGCCACCAGCCGGGCTGGTCCCCGAGTCGCCGCTCCCCGGTGTGAGTGGCGCGGAGATTAGTCCCGGGTCATAAACAACCTCTCGCTTCCCCTCCCCCGCCCGGGTCCGCCCGCGTGGGGCCGGCCCGGCGAAGCCCCGGGCACCTCCTCCGGCGAGCGCGGCCCTGCGCCGAGCGAGAGGGAAGGAGCGAGAGAGCGAGCAAGCGAGCGAGCGACCCGCGGCCAGGCCCTCGCGCTAGCCCCGGGCTCGCCTCGGCCTCTCCTCGCTCGCCCACCGGCCAGGGGCACGCCACAGCGCCCTCGGAAGGGGAGCCGGGGTCCAGCTCCCACTTCCCTTCCCCCGACCCCTATCACCTCCAAGGAGCCAAGGAGAGGCCGGCGGCCTGGCGCGCAGACTCACAGCCGCCGCCGTCGCCCGGCGCGCGTCGACGCGGCCCCCCCGCCCCGCAGGCCTTCCGCGAGCCGGCCCCGCCCCTTCCCGGAGCCCGCCTCCGCGCCGGCCGCCCGCCCGGCCCTCCCGCTCGCCCCGCGCGCTCGCGCTCGCGCTCGCGCGCCCCCGCCGGCCCCGCCTCCGCGCGTGCTCCCTCCCGGGGCCCGGAGCCGCTCGACCGGCTGCCCCCGCCCGGGCGCTGTTTGAATATGCTAATGCCAGGCGGCGGGCGAGCCAATGGCGCGGCGGGGCGGCGCGTCACGTGGCGGGAGGACGTGTCGGGGGGCGGCGCTCCCGCAGCCCCTGCCCGAGTTAAAACCGGAGTGTGCGAGAGAAAAGCGCTTCAGTAGCGAGAGGGGCTGGGAAAGTGGTGACACCGCCGGGGTGCGGAGGGAGTCCCTGAAACTTCTCCCAACAGCCCCAGGGCCCATCTCCCCTCAGCCCACTCCCCTCTTCGCCAGCTCCCAGGCCCCCACTCCCTGCACCGGGGGTGGGGTGGGGAGCCGGGCCCGTCTCCCGCGGGGACACACACAGGGACCGGGAGCGGGGACGGGACCCCCGAGGCGGGGGGGACGGACCGACCGACAGACGGCCGGGCGCCCGCCTCAGCGGGCCGGCCGGCAGGAGGAGGAGGCGGAGGCGGGGGTACGACGGGGAGGACCGGGTCTGGGGAGTTTCCTCTCAACTATCGGGGGAGCAACTCCCCGCCGCCGCCGGAGGGAAGACCAGACGGTGTTTTCCTCTCGGGGGCCGCGCTCCCCCGCCCCGCGTAGCGGCGGTCGCCGCCGCCGCCGCCGCCGGCGCCTCCGCCGCTACCGTCTCCTCTTTTTCTCCACCACCGCGGGCCCCGGTGTCCCCGGCCAGCACTATGCCCATCTTACTGTTCCTGATAGACACGTCTGCCTCTATGAACCAGCGCAGCCATCTGGGCACCACCTACCTGGACACGGCCAAAGGCGCGGTAGAGACCTTCATGAAGGTACCGACTGACCGAGCCCGGGCGGCGACCCCGGCCCGGCGGCCCGCGGGCGGCGGGGGCGGCCTGGGGAGGAGATGGGGGGGTGGGGGAGGGAGCGAGGGCGGCCGGGGTGGGGGGGCGCGGCGGAGGTGTCGGGGACCTGACTGCGGGAGCTGCGGGGCTGGGGACCCCCTCCCCCACCGCGCGGGCGGGCGCTGCCTGCCGGCCGGGCTCGGGCCCCGGCCTGGGGCGGGCGTGGAGGACCGATCGGGGTGGGGGTGGGGGTGCTGGTGGGGGGGGGGGCGGCGTGTGCGGCACTGGGGCGGTGGGGGTGGCGGGTGGTGGTTGCGGCGGGGCCGCCGCGTAACCTCGCGCCCGTGTGCTCCCCTCCCGCTCTCCCGCAGCTCCGTGCCCGGGACCCGGCGAGCCGCGGCGACAGGTATATGCTGGTGACTTTCGAAGAGCCGCCCTATGCCATCAAGGTAACCGCCCGCGCCCTCCCGGCGGCCCGGCCCTGCGCCCGGCCTCGCGCGCCCTCCCCGCTCCCCACCCCCCCCTCCCCGTTCCCCCTTCATTATGCTCCCCTCCCCCACCCGCCCGCCCGCCCGGCGCCCGGCGCCGCGCGCGCGGCTCCCCCGCCGCCCCCGCCCTCGCCCCCGCCGCCGAGCGGCCCGGCGCGGCGCGCGGCCGCGGGGCCATCTCCGTCCCCCTCCCCGGCCCGACCCGGCGGCGGCGGCGGCGCGGCGGCGCGGCGAGCAACATGGCCGACATTTCCCCTCGGCGGCGTGAGCGGCAGCAATGAACTGTGGGGGATATTTATTCAACTTCGCCCGAGTGACAGCGGGGGCCCCCACCGCCCGCGCCGAGCCCCGGCTTGCATTAAAGAGGGGGACGGGGGGCCGCCCCGGCTCCCTGGGGGCCCTGGCCGGGTGCAGGGTTGGGGCTTTGGGAGCAAGGGGGGGGAGGGCTGCGGGCTCTGGGTCCCCGAGGCCTCCTGCCAGGGCCGCGGACCTGGCCGGCCAGCGCCACATGAACTTCAGAAGTCGCCCTCACTTTCTGCTTGCACCCCCGGGCCCTGGCATCAACCCCCGTGATCGCTTTGGGTTTAGGGTTGTGTTTTTTTTTTTTTTTTTCCCCACCCAAGAGACCCAGTGCAGTGGCCCTCCCCAGTGCTCAGGCTGTTCTCGGGGTAGAGCCAAGCAAGTTTGCCCAGCAAGTGATCTGGTGTGACCACGTTCTTCAACCCCTGCTGTAGAGAGAAGCAGCTGCTTGGTGAAAGAGCAATGTTTCATCGGCTGCCCTTCATGCAACGCTATGAAATTTTGATGAAAAAAAAAGTTTTCATTTTGTTTTTTTCCCCCCCAGGCTGGATGGAAAGAAAATCATGCAACGTTTATGAATGAATTGAAAAACCTTCAGGCTGAAGGACTTACGACTCTTGGCCAATCCCTAAGGACAGCTTTTGATTTATTAAATTTAAATAGATTAGTAACTGGCATAGACAACTATGGGCAGGTAGGTTGAATATTAAGGTGGAAAACAAACCTGATTTTTCTTTTGTGGAAAAAACACAGTCCAGTCCAAACAAATATAAGTACAAAACATTTCAGATTAAAATACCGTACGCACACAATACAAAAGTGAAATTGACCATACCGTGTATGGTTTATAGCTTTTTTTTTTCCCCCCTTAAAATGGTTTGTATTCAGAATCAGTCATTTATGTACTGTAAGGATGACATGAATTTGATTTTTCCCTTTAAGTTTCCTTGAAGTTTAGGACATACAGGTAGAAAAGTACCCTGTTTCACCACACATAATTTCTCTGGTAGTTCACCCACAGGGAGTTGTCCAACTATTGCAGTGACAGACACTAGTTGATTAGGGTTTTCATTTTGATATTAGTGAAAATTTTAGAGAAATTGTTGCATTGGTTTGATTCAGCCATAATGTGTAAATGACATAGGTAACATTTTTTATTGGAGTGCAGGCACTGGCTGAGTACATTAAGATTTCTGAGCTTTTGAAACAAGTAGGCAACTATGTAGACAGAATTCTGAAGTCATTCTTGAACTGTTAGATTCAGTTTTAGATTTCTTCCCATTTTAGAATTCCAAACCCTTGGAAAAGAATCTGTTTGAAATATAAAAAAAAAAAACCTGTCCTGAATCAGTTCCATGATTACACTTGCTTTTATTGTATTTGCATATGAGATAATAGCTTAAGCCCCATAATATTTCATTATAGAGCAATGTAAGATGATCTATTCCCCCCCCTTTTTTTTTCTTTTTTTTTTTTTTGGATCACACCTGGCAATGCACAGGGGTTACTCCCGGCTCATGCACTCAGGAATTACTTCTGGTAGTGCTGGGGGGGACCATAAGGGATGCTGGGAATCGAACCCAGGGTTGGCTATGTACAAGGAAAACACCCGCTGTGCTATCACTCCAGCCCCAATTTCCCCTATTTTATGGGAGACTGATGGCTTAGAAAATAAAACCTACTGAAGAAAGTATAGTGTATAACAAAAAGAACATCAAATCCAAGGAATTATTAATTTGTAGTGCAGAGTGCTATTATACAACGATGCATTTAAGGTATACCATTTTGTTTTTAGTTCAAAAATTTTCCAAAAGATGTTTTCATAAATTTTTCAGATTTTAGGAAACTTCTTCCTGTGCAACTTATGTATGCTTTATAGCAGTTGAAATTCAGGGGCAAGAGTGATAGTGTGCTGGCCTTGCACAAGGCTAACACAGTTATATCCCTGGCACCCTCTGTAGTTCACAGAGCCCAGCCATCATTTCCAGGAGTGATCCCTGAGTAGAGAGGCAAGCTTAAGTCCTGAGCACCACTGTTGTGTCCCAAGAACAAAACAAAAAGAATTGGAATTCAGTTCTTTTTAAAAATTTTGTTTAAAGATGGCTGTTCACATAAGCTTTGGAAATGGTCAAATTTAGTCCTATAGAATTTAAAGTATAAGTTGCAATTCAGCCACTTTGTTTCTTAAGTTGCAGTTTCAAGTCACTTTGTTTCTATTTTTACCAAATTGCACTTCCATTTAAGTAAGTGTATTTTCTTACCACATTACTCTTATGTTTCCCCTCAGTACTGCTTTGTTTTGCAGTTTAGTAATTTAGGCAGATTTGCCATGAACTTACTCAGTTTCTGTAAAACTGGATTTCTTTTTCTTATTTATTTGTATGTGCAGTGCTGTACAGTCTTCTGTTGCTGAAGGTTTCATCCATACTTTGAGTTAAAGGACATATTTGAATGAAACTTGCCAATACCTAGTTATCCCTACTTGGCAGGTTTTCAGTGTATAGTAGAGCTTGTTTTCTCAATCACATTTCATAATAGGAAAGGTGTTTAGATACATTTACCTTCTACCATCTGTTCAAAATAATTTTAGATGGCTGGAAATAATCGTATAGGGGCTAAAAGCACATGCTGTGTGCACTGTTGACATGGTTTAGGAGCCTGATTCTATCCCTAGCAGTGCGTCCCTTGAGCACCACCAGAAGTGATCCCTGAACACAGCCAGGAATAAGCCCTGAGCACTGCTCCATGTGCCCCTAACTTCCCCCCACCCCCATGAAGAATTATATATAGTCTTGGGGTACTTTTGTCCAAAAAACTGATTGTTGTGGTTAGACAAGACATTTGTAATATAAATGTGTGTTTTCCTTTTCCAAGTTTCCCTTTTCCACCAGAGAACACAAGTTTTTATGTGTAAAACTTAGAAAAGTTTTGATATTAAAGGCGTTCCTGTTGTATTACTATTTTGGCAAAGAGAAAAATCTGGGGATATAAATGCTGTGTATGTTAGGATATATTCAACAGGAGGAGGGGCATGATGCTTCTCAGTTACTTTGATGAACGAGCATGGATGCAAGGAATAGTAATGCGCAGATTCTGAATTGACATCAAAATGGAAAGTAGCACTAGGATAATGTAGGAAGCTACTGTTTGCAAATGAAAGTGATTGTTTAGTTAGAAGACAACTTTGCAGAAGATATTTTCATAATGACTTGCATTTTTTTTCATTTGAGTATTACATATTTTTTATTTATAGATAGGATCGATTATCAGGAATTTTGGAGGTTTTAAGTATTATTAAATACAGTTCACTTTTTTTTTATAAGAATACTTTGTATCTGCCCATTTTCTTTGGGCTACCTTTATTCTGTAACTTTAGTTTTTTACATAAATAACAAATTTCTTTCCATGCTTTAGATTAGACTGTGGAGTCCACATACTAAACACTTATACATAACTCAGCTGAAGGAAATGTGAAAAGATGAGCTAGATGAAAGAATGCATATCAAGCATTTAAAATCATATTTCAATTTTTCTAAACTAAATATGGGTTTGTATCTGTGTATGTATAATATAAATACACACCTCCCATACTTTCCTCTTGTACTGCACTTGTGATTTTCTAGAACCAAATCCAAGGGTGATTAATACTTAAATAAAACATCTTTGAAATAATTGCTAGGTTACCAATAGACTATATGCATCAGTAGGCTAGAGTAGATGATAAGAATGATTTCTGTTGAATGATTTCCTAAGCGTTGTGAGATCCCACTAGAAAATTCTGTGCATTAGAAGTTCTTATTTAATAACAATACTTTAATAGTCAATTATCATTTACTTATATTTCTGCAATCATGGAACTTCTGGTCAGTAAATCTTAATTATAGGAACATCTTATTAGTTGCTTATTGCAGCCAATTTTTTCTTTGAGGGACGGCACACCCTGTAGTGCTCAGGACTTCTGGCTCTACACTCGGGGATCATTCCTGGTGGGTGGACTCAGAGGATCCTATGGGGTGCCAGGGATTGAATCTTAAGTCGGCAGTGTGCAAGGCAAGCCCTCTCTATCTACTGTAGTATTGCTCTGGCTGGCCCCTGTAACCAAATTTGATGTATATTTTTTTTCACATGTGGTTGTCAGAATTCCAGACAATTGTGACATTTAGAAAGCCACTGAAAATGAATGTGTCTTAAAGTTTAGGATGTATACAATTTTCTAGGTTTAACTAAAGTTTCATATGAGGACTAATTTCATTTTTTATTGTCAGCATTGTTATTTGAAAGTTAGTTTTCAGTTAGTTTAGCTGCCAAATATTATTCTGGCCTGAAATTCATTTTTCTCACTGAATTGGCTTTACATACGAACTATCCAGTATGTTAGTTTTAACTATACATTTGTGTTAGATTGAGCCTGACCTTATTGAAAACGATACTTGACCACCAATATCTAAAAGGATACGTGTGTATAAGTTTTAAAGGATTTTCACTGGTGTTTGCTGCATTGAAAAATTGTGATTTTTCTAAGATGCATATTGAATGAACCTTGGGGGAAAACAGTTTAAACCAATTTTATTCCTCAGCATAAAGTGCTCTTTGTAAATTTAACAGATAATTTAGGTAGTATTCTTTTTTGTTGTTGTTTGTTTTGGGGCTATATCCAACAGTGATGCTCTGGTTACTCCTTGCTCTGCTCTCAGGAATTACTCCTGGTGGCTGTGGGTTTCTATATGGTATGCCAGGGATCAAACCTGTGTCCAAGGCAAACACCCTAACCTCTGTACTATTGCTTCTGCCCTATAGGTAGTATTCTACAATTAACTGTTTTTTCTTTAATCTCTTCCCTCTCAGCAGTTTATACATGAAGTACTCAAATAGTATAAAATAGAAGCATGTCTATTTCATATTGAAGGTGAAGTAATGAAAACTTAGAAATTTGGTTCTCAGTTTGACTTTTTATTTCTCTTGGACTTTCAATAGACATATTAACAATAATTGCTATTAATCGATCTACACATATTTTTAAGAGAAAGTAGACACTTGAATAACACACAGCCTGTTCGCAGTATGAGCAATGAATGCAGTAATAAATTTTGTATATTTTTAAGTTCTTGAGCTTTTCCCTGGATTTTAAATGATGATGAAAAACCCCAACTAAGTTGACTAATAATTTTTCAGTGTATAGTTCAGTGTTGATAAGTATATTCACATTGTTAATGCAACCTCCAGAACTTTGCATCTTACAAGACAAACTTCCTATTAAATAGTTCTTCTCATTTTCTCTTTTCTTTCTTCCTCTTCATTGGTCTACTTTACATCTCTGAACTTGACTTTTCTAGTCAGATTTGACTTCTCCAGATATAAATAATATAATACTCGTCTTTTGTAACTGACATTTCTCTCAACATAGTGTCTCTGAGATTCATGTTCAGCATGTGACAAGACATTCTTTTTAAAGCTGAATACTGTTTTGTTGCATATAAACACATTTTGCTTATCTGTTCACCTGTGGGTAGCTTCTTCAGACCACAATTTGCTTATCCGTTGACGTGTTTTTTTTTTTTTTGCTTACCCACAAAAACAAAAATTTTAGTTTTTGTTCTCATAGCCATTAATATTGTTTCTATGAGCATGGAACACAAATACATTAAAATATCCTTTCAAGTCTTTTGATATTCAGAAGTGGAATCGCCGGGTCAT